TTCACAGGGTCACTCTGAGTTGTGGATGACTTGTCACTATGAGTTTTAGTCAACTTGATGACACATAACAATAACAGTAACAACATACCTAGGGGCTGTTCATCTACAACAAGAGCAAAACAGCCCTGCCATCGTGATGTTTATGACAACATCTACCAAGAACAAAATGAAAGTCAAAAAGGGGGAGAGCAGGGGAAGCAGCTTGGAAAATGGAGGTGAGGAAGAATTTGCCTCTGGAGAAAGGGTAATAACGAGAAAAGTCCTGAGCCTCTTGTGAACACTAATGTAAACAAAAAGAAAAGGTATAAACATACATCTGTTGCTAACAGTATCACATTAGATAATGGTTGTTGATGGAAACCCTGAAGAGAAGCAAGGAGTGAGGACTATTTCCAGGAACAAGCATGGCACTTCTACACTCTCAAGTGTAGGCCTGAAAGGAGTGATACTGGTCAAAACATAAAAAGTTTTCTCTTCAGTCCTATGTGGGGCTTGACCACTAAGAAGAGGAAACCAGGCTTCTAAACATTCTACAAGCTTAGTTAGTCCCATAGCCAATTTCATTTCCTGATGAGAAGGATCATGAAAAATATCTTAGAAACAAAATGGAAGGACAACTACTCATTGCCATCCAGTTGAAATCAACTCAAAGCTGACCCTCAGAGGGGTTTCAGAGGCTATAAATCACACAGAAAGAGACTGTCCATCTTCCTCCTGGAGAGCAGCTGGCAGTTTTGAACTGACCGTTTTTTATTTGGTAGCACAACTCCTTACAGAGTAGGCCACCAGACCTTTAAAATGGAAGTAAGATGCAGGAAAGATAGTTATTAACAGCTGAAATGCAGACAAAATAACAAAATAGGAGAAAGGAAACCTAATCTGCACCTCTGAAAAAAAAGGTGGCATTTTCAGTTCACCACCTTGTGATTTAAAGCAATTAAGGTAGATTTCTGTTTCTTACTTCCCTGAAAGATTGATTATCTGGGTTATATAAAAATGTATCCATTTCTTGCAGTTTTCTGCAAAACCTTTATTCTCTACATGTAACACAAGGTTGAAAGAGCTAATGGGGGAGGAGGTATGGGCATAAATCTAAACAGTCCTTAAATTAACTTCTCTGCCACATCACCTTTTTCCCTCAAGCTCATTTAAATTCTCATGCTGTGGTTATGTGACATCGAGTTGCCTACAACCCATAGTTACCCTATGTACAGCAGCTCTGAAGCCTGCCCTGTCCTGAGTCAGTCTCACTAATATCAACACACTATCCCTTATTGCCCATTATCAATCCATTTCGTCCAGGGTCTTCCTCTCCTGGGCTGTCCCTCCACCCTTCTGAGTATGAAGTCCTTCTCCAATGACTGGTCTTCTCCTGGTCACATGCCCAGAGTATGAAAGAGAGAGCTTCAAAATACTAGCCTCCAAAGAAAAACTTGGTTTCACCCTCTCCAAGACAGACCTATTTGTCTTCTTGGTGCTCCATGGTTATTTTCAAGACTCTTCTCCAACACCTCAATTCAAAGGCATCAATTCTTCTGTTATCCTTAGTCATTTTTCCAACTCTCTGAAAGTAACTGTGAAGACTATAGCCTGTATTAGGTGCACCTTAGTCTCTACACTGACATCACTGCTTTTCAGCACTCTAGAGCGGTCCTTGATAACAGATTTTCTCAATGCAATTGATTTTTTATTTCTTGACTGCTGGTGCCAAAAGTGTTGACTGTGGAGCTAAGCAAGCTATAACTGTTAACTTTAATCTCTTCATCTATTATGGTGCTGCCAATTGGCTCAGTAGTGAGAATCTTTGGCTTCATGATGTTGAGCTTCAATCCATATTGAAGACTGGATATTACAGCCCTTGGCCTTCTGCAGCAAGCACTTCAGGTCTTTTTTCAGTTTCAGCAAGCAAGGTTGTATGATCTCTATAAAGTAGGTTGTTGATGAGTCTTCCTCCAATCTTAAGGCGACATTTCTCCTCAAAAAGCCCTGCTTTCCGAATGATCTGTTCTGCATATAGATTGAAAAGGTATGGGGACAGGATGCATCCCTGATGCATTCCTTTCCTGAGTTTGAGCAATGCGGTCTTTCCTTGCTCTGTTCTGAGGACTGCTTCCTGTTCCAAGTACAGGTTTCACATCAGCACAATCAAGAGTTCTGAGATTCTCATTTTCCTCAAGGCTAGCCACAATCCGTTGTGATCCACACAGTCAAATGACTGTGCATAATCAATGAAACACATATACACATTCTTCTGGTACTCTTTGCTTTCTGCCAAGATCTATGTGACACTGGCAATAAGTCTCTAGTGTCACAATCTCTTCTAAACCCAGCTTGTATTTCTGGTAGTTCTCTGTCAATGTACTGTTCCAGCTGTTTCTGGATCATCTTCAGTAGGATTTGGCTTGTGTGTGATATCAGTGACATTGTTTAATAATTTCCACATTTTGCTGGGTCACATTTTTTTGGAATGCAAATAAATATGGATCTCTTCCAGTCAGCTGGCCAATTAGTTGACCTCCAATTCTCATGGTATCACGAGAAGAAAAAAAAAATCCCACCCAAACCCAGTTGTTGTCAAGAAGCTCCTAATTTAGTACCCTGTCAGACTAGAACTGCACTCCACAGTTTTCAACAGATTATTTTCCTAAAGCAGATCTTTAGGCCTTTCTTTCGAGATGTTTCTGGGCAGACTCAAACCTCCAAACTTTTCCTTAGCAGTCAAGGATCTTGCAACTGTCCTAATTTGTTGGTAAAATCATAAATGAAACCATTATAATAATCAAGGGACAAAGATTCTAACACCCTTTCTTAGAGACAAGAAAGTAATATATCTGGCCCCTCAATTTGTGTGTGTGTGCATACAAGTAGGAGAAATCTAGCATAAAGTAATATAAAATACTGCATCTACCTATGGAGAAGTCAGTCAAATTTTAAATTATCAAATCAAATCTAAAAGTTTCTGATACAGAAAAGAATAGATTATATCTGTGTTGTGTTGTTGCTATTGTTGTTGAGCACAACCCATATCCACTCTATGAACAACAGATCTGAACCCTGTCCTATATTGTGCCATCCTCACAATCTCTGACACAGAATTAAAGAATTTTGTCTTTAATCTTTTTGATGACCACAGTTTGTATTCCTCACTAGGAACAGCATCATATATTTTAAAAACTTAAAACTGTATAAAGAAACCCAAGCATATATGGTGGATTTATAACTGCTAAGGAATGTCACACTTGTCAATTTACCACTGCAAAATCCTATCTTGTAATGTTCCAAGTGTTCATCTGCTAATGTAAGACTTCCATCCAATTACATTTTCAAAAGAGAACAAGTGAAATGCTCTCCACAGCATTTCAATTCAATGAAAAATGTCAATTTCATTATAGGACACTGAAATTTTTTGTTTTTTAATATCATCTGGCTTTGGGCAATTTTTCCTGATTAAACAACAATCAAATCTGACCACAAAAGATATCTTAAATAAAATTATTTCTAATTATTATTTATCTATTAATGAAATATTTTAAAAATTAGGGTAAATTTATTTCAAAAACAACTAAATGACAACAAAATGTTTTCAAACCTGCACTAGATTTATTCTGTCATAATCAGGCAGCTGTTCTAGGAATTTCTTAGAAAAAGTCCTTGTTACATACAGAACAGGGATGATGTGCTAGGTTTAATTCAGATTATGCTGCACGCGGACATAAACTTTTACATTTCATTTGAGTAGATAAAACTAGAATTAGCTACAGGTGTTACTATCATGAAAAGACAAAAAAAAACCATCTTATTATACTGCAGTTCTATGCTTATATTGCAACACTTTTTTGTTTTCTAATTATCTTCATTTTCTCAATGAATAAATAAGGTCGTTTTCTTTCCTGTCCGTACTGAGAAGCATACACATACTAAATTCAATTAACAGGAAGGGGTTCTACCTGTCCAGTAGTAGCCTATTTCCAATGAAAATCCAAATAGTCCTTCATATTTTAATTGCACCTCAAGCTATTTTTCTTTGGTATAAGACAACTCTAGTAGAAGCTTATTAACTAATAAATATGCTGCTCAGTAAGCGGCGGCGAAGTAACTGTATGTTACTGGTTGAATTAAGATGCCCATAATTGCAGTACGGGACAATGACTGTTGTTCCTAACGCTACCAGGCCAACGCAGGCTAATGCATTCTTCAGGTGCCACCGTCTAATACAGGCCTCTGGAGATGAACATTCAGCGGGGGAGCTACAGGAAAACTCACTCAACTACTATAACCAGATGGTCATCCGTAAACGAAGAGCACCGATTTTTAGTTCTCCGCAACTCTTTGTGCAAAGGAGAATAACTGAAGCATCACCTAATTGTGGAGAGAATATTCCCTCACCCTTCTTAGGGCTAATTCCAAATTAAATCAAGAATGCTACCTAATAGGGACACAAACGGACACAAGATCTTGTTTTCAACCCTCTTAAGCCATGAAAACTCAATGCGGGGCAGCTCTACTGTCACTTAAAGAAGCGCTCCACGGCAGCCATCACCACCACCAAGAGTATCAAATCTGTAGCAGCACAAGTATGAAGTTGAGTAAAGGGATTTATGTCTTTAGGGGCAGCAGTTACAAAATCACGTGTCTGGGGACCCCTCAAGCTGCAACATGCGCCAAACGACGCAGCCCAAAAAGTAAGCGAGAAGCCCAGGTCCGGGCTCGCCTGCCTCCCAACCAAAGAATCAACCTCGGGGGACAGAACTAGAATCTCCAATAACATCCTCACCCCAGCTCCTCCCTCGTCCTGAGAACACCGATTCCCTGGCCCCAAGCCTGTGAACCCTGCATGCAAGTCCCCAGAAACCGTCGCACCGGCTTTTCCAAGCTCAGTCATAGCATTTCCATTCATAAATTAAGTTCCCGACCGCCGCCCTCTCTAACCAGGGCCTGTCCCCCTTGGAATCGGATCTCTCTTTTCCTTTGGTCCCCCCCTCCTGGCCCCTCTCACTCACAGGCTGAAGGTGTCTGGGGGCAGCGGGCCCGACAGCGCCCTCCAGCTCGGCGCGGGCAATTTCCTGCGGCTGCAGTCCAGCAGAGGGAGGCGGCAGGAGCAGGGCTCGGGACACAGGCCAGCCCGGGTGGCCGGCAGCAGGAGCAGAAGGGCTTGGGCGACGAACAGGAGCCGGAGAAGTGGTCCAGGGCGAGACCCTAGCAGCGGCTCCTCCCGAACGCCTTGGGGCGCCGGCGCCATTTTCCCCCCCAACCTGCACTGGGCCGTGAAAAGGGGCCAGCTAGAAGGGGTGGCTTGGCGGAGCTGTTGGACGCCGGCGCGACCACCAGAAGGCTGGCTGTCGCCTGTACCCTCTAAAGGCAGGGGAGGGGCGGATGAGGTAAAGCGGCGGGGGCGGCGGCCAGGGAGCAGCAACTCAGAGGGCCCTTCGGACACCCGTCTTCGACCCGCCCCGCAACGCAACGTCTCCACGCACAAAAGCCAACCAATCCTTGTTATAGAAAGAGTTTGCGTCAGGGTGGGGTTTAGCGAGGGGGCGGGACTGAAGAGAGCCGAACTCCTTAAAGAGGACCTTAAGGGGTCCTGTGTTTGGGGGTATTCCTTTGGGAAAACGCTACCTTTTCTCCCCTGGAAGGTACACGTTTCTTTAAGAGGAGCCGTAAGGCCATCGCTATGAGTCTCAAGTCTGGACTGCTGTGGTAGTAAGAAAAGATCTCTCGTCCCTCAACTCCAAGGGAAGGAGAACGGTAAACAATTCCCTTCCTAGTGGAAGATGATAATGGAAAGCGGCGCTTCCATCCTGCCTTCTGCCAAGTCAGGCTCCAGAGCCGAGCGGGGGCCGCTTCTGCCCCCTGCTGCTTCTCTGGTGCTTTAGCAGCCCCGCAAATAGGGGGCAACGCCCACTCTCCTAACAACAGATGATCTTTTGATGGCCTGCTGCCTTATTTATTTACACTTATGCATAGGTCAACCTTATAAATCAACTATTGTTTGTGGTTGAGTACCATCGAGTCGGAACCGAACCATAGCTGACCCTCCAGCCGGTTTTCAGAAACAGTTAATCCCATGGGAGGAGAGTGCCCATCCTTCACTCGCTTGAACAGCTGGCGGATTCGAACCACTTTCAACTGAGATTGCAACGCAGGTTCTTACCACTAGGCCACCAGAATTCTACAAATCTACTGTCAGGATTAAGATGACACCTGTGCTTTCTGAAGATTTATAGCCTTGGGATACTGGGCAGTTGGACTTTATCTGGTAGGGTCACTATGAGTCAATGGCAGTGGGTTTGGATTTGGTTTATACACCTGCTCATGTTATAGTTTTAAAAAACAAAACAAACAAAAAATCCACCTCACAGCTGTTGAGTCGATTCTGAGTCATAGCTATCCTCTAATGCTGTAAATATTAACAATAGGAGCTGACTGCCTTAACTTTCTCTCGACCAATGGCTCGTGTGCTCAAACCTCCAACCTTTCAGTTAGCAGAGACCAGCATAGCATGCTGCCAAGCCTGCTGCAGTAAATCCAGATGGGTCTTATACAGTATTTGTCCTTATGGGACTGAGTTTGTTCACTCAGCGTAATGCTCTCCAGTCCCTCTCAAGTTAGGTAGTGAATCACTGCTCCTGCATGCTGCATAGTATTCCTTCGTGTGAATGTGCCACAGTTTCTCAATCCATTCGATTGAGGTTGGACCCTTGAGCTCTTTCCATATTCTTGCGATGGTGAATAACGCAGCTAGAAACACTGGTGTACAATTCTCCATTTGTGCCTCAGTTTTCATTCTCTTGGGGTATATTCCAAGCAGTAGAATAGCTGGGTCATATGGAATTTCTATGTTCAGCTTTCTGAGGAAATGCCAAACTGTCTTCCAGGTGGTTGTACCATTTTACAATCACATATGAGGATCCAAGAGGTGGCGACGGTGGAGAAGAAGGGTGAGGATGGGGAGGGGTGCAACATTGGGGGATTAATTATAGGATGTCACAATTTGGGGAGAAGGAGGGGAAAGTAAAGGAAATGGGAAAGATCCAGTGTGAAAAACAATGTATACAAACTTGGTAAGTAAACCAGTATAAAATTAAAATGTTATTTTAAAAAAAGCATAGATAGTAATTAATTATATATAATACAATGTACATGAATGAGTGTATGAAACACACAAAGTACAATGTACATGAATGCAACAATGTATATTAATTATTTTGTGCAAACTAATAAAATTAAAATATAAGTGCAGATGGGAATGAAGCGTCAGGTTATGTCTATAAGACAAAAATGCTTTTCCCCTGTTTTGGCAGAATTGCTTTCTTGATGACCTCTACCAGGTTTCTGAGGTGATAAATCTTAGTGGGAGAGGACAACACATCTTTCTTGTAGAGTGCAACAGTGAGGAACTGGAGCACCAAAGTTCCAAGTTTGGAGAATACTGTGCTAGGCGTCACACTCTAAAGAGCAAGATGATTAAAAAGGGTATCAAGACATCAACAAAGGAAAAGCTGACTTGAAAGCAGAGGCACTGGAGAAAGGTTAGATTTCTATATTTATTCACTTTCCCAAAAAAAATAAAAATGATTCAGCGGAGTGTGAAAATTACCAAACCATATCACTAATATTACACACAAGCAAGATCCTGCTAAAGATTGTCCAAAAACAGTTGGAACAGTGCATGAACACAGAACTGCCAGATGTACAAGCTGGGTTTAGAAGAGGCCCCGGCACTAGAGACTTTATAGCCAATGTCAGGTGGATCTTAGATGAAAGCAGAGAGTACCAGAAGAATGTCTATCTATGTTTCATTAACCATACAAAGACATACAAAGACTGTGTAGATTACAACAAATTATTGCTAACTTTGAAAAGAACGGGAATCCCAGAACACTTAATTGTGCTAATGCAAAGCCCATACTTGGACCAGGAAGCAGTCATCAAAACAGCAAGGAAACCCAGCATGTTCAAAATCAGTAAAGGTATATGTCTGAGATGTCCTGTCTCAATACCTTTTCAATCTATATGTGGAACAGATCATCCAGGAGGCTGGACTTTATGAGGAGGAATGTAGCATCAGGAATGCAGGAAAACTGATCAACAGCCTTCATTATGCAGATGATACAGTCTTGCTTGCTAAAACTGAAGAGGACCTGAGATATTTGCTGCAGAAGGTCAAGAACTGCAGCCTTCAATATAGATTGAAGCTCAACATCAAAAAAACAAAGATTCTCACCACTGGGCCAATAAGCAGCATCATGATAGATGGAGAATAGATTGAAATTGTTAACAATTGCAATTTGCTTGGTTCCACAATCAACACTTTTGGCACCAGCAAGCAAGGAAATAAAAAGACGAATTGCACTGGGCAAATTTGTCAGGGACCTCTCCAGAGTCCTGAAGAGCAATAATGTCAGTCTGAAAACTAAGGTGTGCCTGATCCAGGGCATGGTCTTCACAATTACTTGTTATGCATCAGAGAGCTGGACACTGACTAAAGATGACAGAAGAGGTATTGATTTGAGTTGTGATGTGCGAGAAGAATATTGAACATACCATTGACTACAAAGAGAACCAATAGATCTGTTCTGGAGAAGATGGAACCAAGCTGCTCCTGTGAGGCAAAGATTTCGAAGCTCCATCTCACATACTTTGGGCATGCCAGGAGAGACCAGTCCTTGGAGAAGGACATCATGCTTGGAAGGGTAGAAGGCCAGCGCAGGAACAGAAGAACCTGGATAAGATAGATTGACTCAGTGACTGAGGTAATGGGGGCAAATGTGTCAGAGACAATGACACTGGCTCAGGGTAGGTCAGGGTTCAGAGCTGCTGTACATTGGGTTGCTATGAATTGCAGGTGACTCAGCAGCACATAGCAAAGACAACAAATTCACTTAATCATAATATTCAAGGTTATGAATAAGACTTTGAGTGTAATAGTGATACAAATGGTTAACAGTCTCAGCTGCTAGCCAAAAGGCTGCAAGTTTAAGTCCAGTCAGAAGCACTTAGACAGAATGATCTGGCAATCTACTTCAGAGAAACTAGTCACTGACAGCCCTATGAAGCACAGTTTTACTCTGACACCTGTGGGATCACTGTAAATCTATGAGAAAGCAAAGTTCTGGTTTGTACTTTTCAAAGAGCATTTACATCTGTTACCTTGTTTGGTCCCTCAGGCACTGGAAAATGGGCACAATGAGGAAGCAAGCCTGAAGAGGTTAAACCAAGTTACCTGGAGGTGTAGAGTCAGGCCTGGCATTAGTTTGTGGGTTTTCTGACCCTCTTAGATTAAAAAGCTGAGCAGTTTAAAAAGACGGATGAGTCATAGAGTTATCCTAGGAAAGAACAGAAATCAAAGTTTCCCCTGGCAGATTTGGAAGTCAAAATTGTGCTTTTTAAAACCTTTTTATTTTTTCAAATATTAAAATAATTCTTGGATGCAAGGTTATATTAAAAACCTCCAACTCAAAGTAAGCTTTTAAAGCCAACATGGCAGAGTAAAGTTTATTCCTATCCTCCTTCCTGCTGTTGCTTAGGCTTAACAATCAGCAGTGAGAAACTAGACAGACAGTAACTCCACACAAAAAGGAGACATCTTAGTACCTCTCTGTAGTGTAGGTTCAGAGCTTGTCTGTGGCACTCCTTTGCCAAATGAACACGTTAAAAATATATGCTGTCTACTTTGTATTCTCAATTTACAATACAGATCATTCTGGCTGGAAGTCCATCCCTGCTCTTAATCCTTTTGGTACATTATTTGTACAACTCTAATATAATTCATATATATAGGTATTTTTGTGTTCCTCATATTGTCTAGCACACTGTGCTACTATTGCTACTACTACTCCTCCCTACCATCAAGTCTATTCCAACTTGTAGTGCCCCTTCACTGGGATCTGAAGATGTTTACCTTAATGGAAAGAGACTGCTCAAATTTCTCCTTTGGAACCACCAGTGGATTCAAACCAACGTAGATACAACCTTTTGTTTGAAGTATACCTAAAGCTACCCCTTTGATACACAATATCAACTGACCTAAAACACTTGCTGCAGAAGATCGAAAACCTCAGCCTTCAATATGAATTATTATCTGAATATCAAGAAAATAAAACGCCTCTCTGCTGGACCAATAGACAAAACCATGATAGATAGAGAAAAGATTGCAGTCATCCACATTTTTTGTCTTACTTGGATCCACAAGCAGTCAAAAAATCAAAAGATGTGTTGTACTGGAAAATCTGCTGTCAAGGACATCTCCACAGTGCTAAAAAGCAAGGGTGTCAGTTTGAAGACTAAGGTACAA